AAGCTAATGATAAAAAACTCAATGATAATACTTAACATTATTCATAGTGCAGTTCTTTAGTAGTCTATCAGCAGAGCAAAAAAAATTCAACAAAAATAGGGGAAAAACAGTGGAAAGACATGGTTACTCATGAACCACGTCTTGTTCCGACAACTTCTCAATGGGGAAACTATTCCATGGGAATGGGTTGCATGTTCACCGTCCACTGGAGATATTTATTGCTTGTGAAATTTGATCAAAAAACAGAAACAAATTTGTTGGTGTGTTTAGAGATTGAAAGAATAATGGAACATTAACGGTGAGCACAGAAAATGCTTCCCTGCACCTGCACATCGAAGTGCACTTTATAAAAGTTACCTTGGAATGGTGGAGCTGCTAGCACAGCTCAACCCATTCTTAAAGATTTTTCATTAACTATCTTTGAGGAATTTATTAGTTACTTAGGTAAAAATAAGGCAAACAAGAGATATTGCTATAGAAAGGATGTAAATGAAGTGTTAATCCGCTATAGTAGACTCTACATCTGACAGCAACTTATTGCATTTGAACTAATTCACATTCACACTGGGTCAAGTCTGGCTGACTGTTGATCAATCTGGTCATTGATTTCAGGCTAGATCTCTAACTAGGCCTATGATGATACATCAAACATGTCAGGAAAATATAGTTACAGGGAGTGTAAGGCGCAGTCTTTGGTTGGTATGAATTGTGTTGAAAAAAGTTGTCAGGAAGAACATCACTTTTGTGACTTACTTCAAGCTCTATATGTTTTCTGTTTTGGCTCCACCCATCGATAGAATAAGGTGTTCACTGCCGACATACTACTGACGCTAACATTCCTCTCCTGCACAAGATTGAGCTGCCAACGAGACGCCACAAGAGCTCTGAGAAAAATTATGCTAAAATAACCTTAGAGATATTAGCCTCTGGCAACGAAAAGCTACAAGACACAAGGTGTCAGGCTGTTTAAGAAGCTGGAGACTTCACTCTTGACCATTTTTTGGATACTCTACTGCACCTAATTAAGCTGACAAGCAACAGCTTGCAAATGAAAGATAGGGTCTTGATGACTGCAGTGAGCCTTTGCTGATTTCAAGACATTTTCCAGGGCTGCCGTAGACCCACTAGTCTGAGACCCAATGAATTAATAAAAGAAGAACCTTTGATGATGAGAACATTGACCATTAATTTATTCTCACCAGGAGTGAAAGATGCGACAATAAAATGTCTTTATTGACAGTTTACTGTCAGGACTGAAGAAATGTCGGAATGCATACAGAGACATTAAAGATCCTGTTGGTGTTTTATTTGACAGGGATTGTGACTCTGATTTCTACAAACAGGCCAATGTTCTCATCATCATCATCATCATAAGCAGTTGACTTGGATACCTCTTTATCTGATGAGCTGATTCAGTTTAGTTTCTTTTGTCGGTGAGCAAATAAGCAACTTAAGATGCCTGAATTCCTATTCCAGGTTGTGGTGAGGAATGGACTTCAGACGGCCTTTCACAAAGTTTTCTTTGCTGTCAGCAGAGATGGCAAAAGTACTCACTTTCCGTACTTGAGTAAAAGTACAGATACTTGTGTTAAAAAATACTCAGGTAAAAGTGGAAGTACTGATTAAACTTCTTTACTCAAGTAAAAGTAACAAAGTACAGGCTTGTAAATTTACTTCAAGTATAAAAGTAAAAGTAGAAACCACTTTTTTCATGCCGTTGCCTACATTTTAAATGGATGTCTGCCAATAGGACTAGATCTCCGTTGTGTTCATTTTCAATCATCTCGTTGTCCATACTACTATGCTAACGCCACCGCCACCAAGCTGCAATGATTTGCCGCGAATGAATACCGCCAAATCTGTCGATTCATCTTGTAGTGGTGCGTCAAATGCAACGTAGATTCCCATCCAACTAGATTGAATTTGGTATTGATGACGTGAAAAATAATAAAGGTAACTCCATTGCAATGATTCAAAACTAAAGTAACGAGCCAATTTTTTAAACTGTAAGGAGTAGAAAGTACAGATATTTGTGTAAAAATGTAAGGAGTAGAAGTAAAAAGTCGCCATAAAAATAAGTAGTAAAGTAAAGTAAAAATATCAGAAAAATCTACTTGAGTACAGTAACAAAGTATTTGTACTTCGTTACTTCCCATCTCTGGCTGTCAGTCTGTTTCATACTGCCTGAATCCAATTGTAAGGCAGAAAGAACTGTTTTACAAATTAAAAATCTTTCAGAAGAGGCTTTCGGCACTGTTCATGATGGGCATCAAGTCTGAGCTGGTGAGGGTTATTATGGCTAGAGATCGATAGTTTTTTTTTTCCAAGGCTGATATCAAGATAGATTAATTTGACTGACCAATCCTCGATATGTGCTGCTGATTTTTTAGGCCAAATCTTGGAGTTGATTTTTCTTTTCTCTTTTTCCATTTACATGATGGGTTTCAGTTTAAATAAGATGATAAAACAAAGAAAGAAAATAAAATATCAGCCAGATGATGTATGGGTATATCTCTAGTTATGACATTGTTATATTTTCAGTCAACCACATTACAGCATTACTGGTGTGCTTTTTGCATAGGGGAATGCTATACTGCCATTATCTTGAGCCATTATCTGGTTGGGGATGATTTAATTCATTGTTTCATTGCTGTGCTTTGCTATACTGGAAAGGAATATGATCAGAAGGCCTATTTATTTAGCACTTTACTGACAAGTGTGGGATTTCACATACAGGCTTGGCTAGAAGTATAAAATAAAAGGAAGGTGTGTGTGAAGTCGGTCTGGTCAGATGTGGCTGCAGTTTCTCAGGTGTCAATAACTTTATCACCTCCTTTATAGGTTGTTGATCCTAAGGAGTTACTTATCAGGTCCTGCCTTTACCCATAAATTAGAATTTGATCATTAGAATCTGATGTGTCTCCTTGAACCCCAGTCGGCCTCAGCAGATGGCCGCTCACACTGAGTCTGGTTCTGCTGGAGGTTTCTTCCTGTTAAAAGGGAGTTTTTCCTCTCCACTGTCGCCACAAGCATGCTTAGTGTGAGGGATTGCCTTCGATTTAATGAGTCGATGCAATCAACTGGTTTTCCTTAGATAGAAAACATTAAATGACGTGTTGTGAATTGGCACTATAGAAATAAACTGAATTGAATACATATTGATAAAAACAGACACCAAAAAAGGTTTTACACACCGTCTGCTGAACTGCAAAGGCAAATCACTTTGCACTTTCTTTATAGATCCGCTATCACACAAAACATGTTTGCACCTGTTTCAAGACATGCAAACCTTTTGAAGACCAGGCCTTATATCAGAATAATTACCGTTAAAAACATACATGGGACCATTGCTAACAGTTTTTAAAAAAATGCATTATGACACCTGTTACTAGGCAAAATTCTTTCAGTGCAAGCATAAAATGTTGACATTTCGAGGCACCTGCAAATGGTAAAGTAAAATCTAGATGGGCGTCGACCCTTTTGTCAGCATTTATTGGCGTTACTATTTTGGAAGGCATGTTTTGAGAGATGAAAGAAAAAGACTAAAAAGACTAAAAATGTAATAAGATTCCTGCTGAAACTGATTTAAAGAGTATATCAGAATGTGTTATATATATAGCTTTGGCATAAAGAGGTGCAAGAGGGAAGGACATAATTTTTTCAGTTTTTTAATTGAAACAAAGACATTTCCTAAGCAAATCTATGTACATTTAAGTTGCATACAGCATTATTTGAAAACTGAATGACATATCCGCCTAATAATTTTCTTTCCTTTATATGATAAACTTTCATACAAGATCCCTATATAATTATGGTAGCTCTAATATAGATGCATAAAAGACCAAAAATTAATTATACTTTTATTGCAGCATTAGCTCTTACTTTTTTTTATATCTAAACCAAATCCTGAATTTAAGCACATTCATACCCTGGGGGGGATACTATGTTAAGAAATTAGTCATGTAGTTTTTTTTACCCAACAACTAATAATTTATAGATAATGCTTTTTTCTTTACTAGATACGATATTATTTTATTAGATCATGATGCGTCAAAAGGAACTTAATTTGGTAATCCATTACTTCCATTTTTCTTAGGATACCCCAATAAGGCAACAAGGGATTCTAAATGCGTAAAAAACAAGACAAGCAATTTGTTTTCGGACATATGTACTTAAGAAGTAAGAAAGATACTAACCACTCTATAAGACCGTCCATATCTTGGATTATGTGGCTTCTCAGTCATCCAGGACAACCCTTAGTGCTATAAAAGGAGGGTAAACCTTAGAGAAACAGCAGAGAATGGACCCTGGGACAGCTTCCCTGAGGGCTGAAGCCTCAGCATATGGCACGCTTGCTTTACCACCCAACCATGCAGAAACATGGGGACGCATAATATTCTATGGCCATCTTTTAAAAAGAGAATCTCGTTGTCTAAGGGGTATAAGCTGGGACCCTAGAGGGTTCAGTGGAAAACTGCTGGTGTCTCCCTGGAAAATGAAAGTAGGTCATCACTGGGTCTTTTAGCAGGACAATGAACCCAAACATACTATCAAAACTATCAAACTATCAAAACAGAAATGGTTCAGTAGACAATAGACCTTTTTCCATCAAAATGTCTGCCTGCTGACTAAAGACCTGGAGAAAACCTGGGAGGTCAGTTGAAGGGACAGATAAATATCTTTCTCTGGAGGCTTCAAGTTTTATGAAATGCTATAGAAGGAGACCAAGTGCAACATTTCATAAATAAAGGAGGTGTTTTTTTCTCCTTATAGTGGAATAATTTCCCCACTAAAATGGATTTTAGATCACTATAAAGAAAGCTAAAACATAAAAGCAGTTTTAATTTTCCTCATGTAAGACATGCGTAAGGTCTGGCTAGGATTTTTTCTTTCAGATTTCATATTGTTTCCATATTTTTCTGAGCAGGACCATAACACGCTGTTTTAAGATGAATGTGATGTGAAGAGGTGTGAAGAAAACACAGATCTACAGTGTGACGTCTCTTCTTAGAGGTATTTATTCCAGTTTGATGCAGCCAACAGTACCGGTCTCACGTGTAAACCATCATGCCCAGTCCGCTTAATCACTCCTCACATCTGTTGCTTCAGCGAGCATCACAAAAATAATGATCTCTCCCTCGGGTCACATTATCAACACTCAAAGCATACAAACTTTTATTTACTATTTTTACAGTTTATTTAAAGCATTCATTCTCTGCTCCGTCCATCCACCCCTCCGTTCGCATTCACACACAAACACTGTACAGAGTTCAGAGGCTGCTCGCCCAAACCTTTCATAGTCTACTAGTCTTAAAGAAGCAGATGAGTACCCTTGTTTTAAGCTGAGGCTGAGATGATTTGTTCTAAAATATTTAATGCAAAGAACCTCTTTTCTGTTTCTCAGGAACATAAAGAGGGAAGAAAAAGGAGACAGAAGACATCACAATAAAAATGGCCAAAATATTTCTCCCCATGTGATTTACTGGTGTCTATCTCCTTTAAGTTAATAAACATCTAAAGCCAAGCTGAGGTTAAGTCCACTGTTTGGTTTTTGTCTGTCCGCCCAGGATGAGGTCATGACAGGAGTGACTATAAGCGATAAGATTTACAGTACAGCACATACAGATCCTGTTCAGCATCATAAAGCTTCAATACTGATGCCTTATCTGTAATACAGTCAGTTTAAGCTGCATCCATCTGCTTCCTTTAGCCTCAGTCTGTGCAGAAGGTTGCTCGATCCGCAGGTTTAGAGGAAATCCAGTGCCGGGACTAGGAGGATGCCACCTTCGCAGAGAAGAGGCACAAATGCAGCTGCAGGACAAAGAGATACTAAAAAGTGCAAAGAGTCAAAGTTTATTTGGTCATTCCTCTGGAGGAGCAGGAGTCAACATTGCTCAGATGTTTGACTTTGACCAGCAGTGACAGGATGGATCGAGATGAAGCCGAGCAGATCCAGGTTTTTTTTTTGTATTTATTTATTTTCTGTTAAGGCAGGGCTGCCGGGTCAGCTAGAGCTCTGCTTTGGTGTGTAGAGGAAACGATCCTGGTGTCTACCTGCCAAAAATGTTTTCATACTCCAGCAATATAAGCTCCACTATCTGATTCTGATAAACCATGTTGAAAGCCATGTTCAGGGTCTCGGTTTCTGGGCGGAGTAGCGTGGGGCCGAAAACGATGGCCACGCTCTGAGTGGTCATTCGGTTTTCCTCACCATGGTCGATAACTCTGGAGAAAAAGAAGAAAACAATCGGTGTACATCAGGATGTCCTCATATTTCTATAATTAATTATCACTGTAATCTACTCTCTTTCTGGCTTTTGTAGCCTTTTTTAAAAGGTATTTCTTTGTACTATGACTGTCTTTGAACTCGTGACCGTTGTTGATTTGCTAATTCTACACACAAGGACATTTTGATGAAAGAGAAAACCAGTAAAAAAAAAAAAAAAAAACACATAATGGACAAGATGTGAAGAGTTAACCAAAGAAATAAGGGACAAGATATGCAAAATGTTTGGTTTGGCCAAAAATGCCGCTAGCAAGAACTTTGGTGAACAACTCTCATCTATAGTTGTGGATGTAGTTTAAATAAATTAACCAAATGTGGTCAATGAGATTAGCACACAGCAGAGCATGTTAGGGGAGCATGGAGCGAATGGTGGAGCGGAGCGGAAGAAATATGGTGGAGCTCAGAGCGGTTTTCAATTCAAAGGACGGAGCAAGGATTTTGCTCCGATGCGTTCACAACGTCAATTAAAAATGTTAGGTTATAAAATTCGTAAGTCTATGTTTCAACTTTACCATGGAATCGCCAAGATGAGGTTTGCATATTATAAGTGGGATAAAATATCATAAAGACATACACTAACAATACAGAATGGGTTTCCATAAAGTGATTGTTGTGGTAAGAGCCTGTTATTGAAAATGGATCGCATACATGAATTATACGCTATTATCTCATTTGCAATGGGATGCGAAGTCACCTTTTTTTATGTAGTCTAGTAAAATAAATTCATAATTAAATAGGAAACGTGGGGCAACATGAACGGAGCGAGGTGTTACGTTCACAGCTGGGAAACAGTCAGAGTAGCAGGAAAATTAAGGAGATAGCAGAGCGGATTTTGAGCGGAGCTTCCTGGTGCAACTTTGAGTGGTGGAGCGAATGAGCGAACTTCCTCCTGAGCAGGATGCGCAGCGCTTCGCTCACATGCTCAGGTACACAGGTACATTAGAAACATCTAAATGATTCAGGGACGGTTTGGAAGACACAAAGATAGAGTATGACCCAGAGAACCTCACACCCTCTGTTTAGTACAGAGAACATTGTGATTTCAGATACTTTTCCTGGGGTTCAGAACAACATTCACTCCAGGCTGGTGCTGAATATGGAGCAGCTGAGGTACAGGCATGCAGCAAAAAGTCCCTTATGCTGCAACCAGGCTGTCCCTGCTAAGGCTCCAGCTGCAGAAATGAAGCTCAGGAGGAAAAGACTCTCACAGGTTCACCTTCTTTCCACTAGTAGTCGAAGAAAACTCCTTTTTAGCACACATAAATATCCTATTCATCATCTGACAGCCGCTCTGTTTCTGTTTGGAGTTCTTGTTTTCTCTAGTAACATTAACCAAGGTTGGTGGGTTGATTTTATTCTGAAATTCACCAGACTTTTTCCTGTCTTGATCCCGGCCTTTTCTGTTTGAAGTGAAATATTCAGGAGATTGATGTGGAAGCGGCTGCGGCGTCTGACCAAACCTCCTTTTTGTGGAAAGGCTTTGTTGACCCACACAGCCTCGGTAACTGCACGCTCACTGCTAGTGGCTGAGGTTAGGGTACACATTGATTTTTATGATTTGGCTCCTTGGGGCGCCAAATTCCATGAGCCTGGTGTGACCATTTCTCCCAGGGTGACCTTATAGGGTCTCGTTTAGCTCTATAATTTGGCCTCTTTTAGAAATTCCCAATCAGGAAACTTCTTTAAATCATCTTTTGTCAGACAGACAACTTTGTATATTCAGGAGCAGGGAATAAACCAACATATAAATTGAAGAGGAGGGGTGCTGGCTGGTACCTTAAAGACACATTGCCATGGAAACAAAAATAATTATAAAGAATACCTGGATATACAGAGAAAAATTATACACGTTTATCCCTTTAGAATACATGGACAAGGAGCTTTGAGCTGCCAAAGACAAAGTCACATTTTTAGGAATAAAATACACAGGCATAAAGTCCAATTTTTACATAATCCCTTATATCGTTGATAGTTTGGGTTGACACTTAATCACACTTTATTAGATAATCATTTGCCCCCTCTCCAACAGACTAATTGGACTTTAAAATACCAAGAAACAACAAGTATTGAATGTTAATGCCAACATAAAATCAAATGTAACAAACTCCAATGATTTTAGGACAAAGGAACAGTTAAAGAAAGACACAACACGAATGGTTAAGTTAGCATTTCTGGGATTCCACACATCTAGCATGCAGAAATTCCTTAAGATAAAGGTAGATATAAGGAGCAGAATGAAGAAAAGGGGCAGCAGGAGGAAAAATAAAGACACAAAGTGGTAAAGAAAGTGGAAATGAATCAAGACAAACAAAAAAAGATGGAAGAAAGTGCTCAAAGAAAGTAAAGCAGAGACAGGATTTTCAGAGTGATAAGGAATTAGGCTCTATTTTCATCTGGAAAGCACAGGAAAATTATTCCAACCCTGAATTTTATTCCAAAATGAGACAAAAACATTCCTGACAGCATTAAATGAAATTTAAGACATGATGCATTTTAATATTCTTGACAACAGATTCTTTTTCCAGACAAAAACAAGCTGTAGAAGGTGTGACTTTTCTTACTTCCTGAGGTGTTTGAAGAGCGCCTGCATGGTGTCGTGGTTGGGCTTGGGCAGCTGTCTCACCAGCTCTTTGATGGCCTGCACCCGCTGCTTGTAGTCTGATATTTCTGCAGAAGAAGAGAAAGGCAGAATAAATCAAAGGCTGGATCCACCTCAGAGTTAATTTTGGCTGCAGCACAGACGATGTTTCGGACAGACTTTTCTTTCTCATGTTGCACCAACATGTCAGTGAAAACTGGACTCTCAAAACATCAGCAAAGAAAGTCTCAGAGAAACAATTACTGAATATTAAAAACCTTTTAAACATAAAAGACATGGTAGGATGTTAAAAACACAGGCTGGAGAACAATTTACTCAACTGGTACAAACCAAGATATATCTGCTAAAAAGGAACTCGGACACATTAAAGCCACAAACTGGTTTATTTTATGAGTTAGAGCAGCACAAAGATGTGGTTCATTATCAAGTGGAAGGAAACCATGAATTAAAAGGAAACCAGTGTTTTCTCTCTTAAGAATGTGCTTAAAGGAAACATGCTTCTGCATAGGATCTTGCACACACCATCCCCCACAATAAAACATGGTGGTGGCAGCATCATTAAGCTGGTCGGGGTGACTAGAGGACGGATGGAGCTAAAAACCTGTACTGAGACCTATGCAACCTCCATCTTATATCTGATTGTTCCTTATGCTCCTAACAGAGCACTTCGCTCTCAATCTGCAGGTTTACTAGTGGTTCCTAGAATTTCTAAAAGTAGAATGGGAGGCAGATCTTTTAGGCTCCTCTCCTGTGGAACCAACTACCAGTTTTAGTCCGTGAGGGAGACACCCTGTCTACTTTTAAGGCTAGGCTTAAAACTTTTCTTTCTGATAAAGCTTATAGTTACAGGGGCTGTGGTTACCCTGAGCTGTCTCTATGGTTATGCCGCTATAGCCTTAGACCGCTGGAGGACATAGAGAACATTTTTCATCATTGTGCTTCATCTATCTCTATTCTACCACTCTGCAGAACTTTATGTTCTCTCTGCTTTCTTTCATAGTAGCTTCATCTGGTCTGTCCCCTGTTTGGCTGTGACGCCATCCTGGAGTCAGCTGTCATGCTGCCATCAACACCTTTGTTTCTGGATGATGGAGCTCGGCCTGTTTGTCAGTGTTGTCCTGTTTCCCTGACTGTGACTGGCTGGATGTGCTCTCTTTCATCTTCTGACATGGGGGCTGGCTCGGAGCTCGTCTGCCTGGCTGTGCGTTTCCTGGACAGGGAGCTGATTGACAGCTGCTTTTTGTATCTCTGCTTCTGTCTCCTTGAACCTCAGTCGGCATCAGCAGATGGCTGCTCACACTGAGTCTGGTTCTGCTGGAGGTTTCTTCCTGTTAAAAGGGAGTTTTTCCTCTCCACTGCTGCTACAAGCATGCTTAGAGTAAGGGGTTGCCTTCAAGTCAATGATTCGATGCAATCAACTGGATTTCCTTAGATAGAAAACTTTGAACCAATTTGACTGCATGATCTGGTTGAACTGTAAAGTGCCTTGAGATGACATGTATGGTGAATTGATGCTATATAAATAAACTGAATTTAATTGAATTTATCAGAGAACTACATGTCGGAGCAAATCTCCGGTCCTGCTGTATAATGTAGAGGAAAGTTGCCACCAGTACAGAGCTTGCTCATTATTGGCAGGTCTTTACAAAGCGGGACCAGAACTTCCACACATGAAGAGCATCATTGCTCTATTTTATATCCCAGAAAACATTGAGAAGAGACAATTTTCTGCAAAACAGGCAGCAGAAGACTGTTGCAAACAGAAAGCATTGTTCTGAGATGATGTGTCTTGCCAACAGGGAAACATCCTGATGTTGGAATTGCTTCTATCGAGTTTAATCCCAATAAATCCAAACCACAATGTCCTCGAAGAACAGCTTCTCCCAACAATTTAGTCACCGTGTAAAGATGAGCTGAGAGTTTCGCAGCATGCTGGACCTCTGTGCCACAATTCTTCACTTTTGATATATAAAAAAGTGTAATAATTTATACTGAACATTCAGAAGATGTTATGAAAATGGACCAAAACTCTTAATTTTGAGTCTACTTATAAATTCAGTGTTCGTGATGAAGATACTTTCATCATTAAAGACAACATTTGTCTCCAAGGAAAGACTGTGAACCAGTTACGGTCCGCCGGCCTGTCATATTTAGCTGCAGGGGACAGTGAGTGCATGTACAAGCACAGAGGTTAGCCGCGTGTCACACGTACTGATGCCGCTGACGAAGTCGCTGAACAGAGCGTAGGTGAAGAGGGGCTCGGGCAGCTCCCTGAAGAACATCTTCAAAGCCCCAGTGATCACATGGATGTCCTCCCACTTCCCGTCGCCAAGGTTCACCTTCTCATCTGCAAAAACAAGCGTCCTTTAAAGCCGCTGCTCTGCAGGGCCTCTTTAAGCATCTCACAGGAAACACAGACAGTTTCAGGGTAACCCACCGTGATTGACAGCAAAGCGTAGCTTTTGTATGACCGCCAGGTTCCCGCTCACTCTATACAGCCCGTCTATATACAGACCTGGAGAGAGGTCAACGACAAAAACAGATCAGAGTCTGTAAGACATGAGAAAACAAACCCAGTCCTCTTTAACAACACACAGAAACTAGGTCCATTCCTTAACACTGACCGTTATTCTCCACGTGATCGATGCACATCTTGACAAAGGTCGGCACCGTGCTGTTCTCCTGCTGACACAGACTGGACAGGCTGCAGCCAAAAACCTGATCTGAAGACAAAAGTGGAGGTAAAGGATTAGTATGTTGCAGTTTCTCCTCATATGCAATAAAGATCAGCTAAATAAAAGTCTTCATACATTCCTTCTCCTTATCAACACACTTTTCCAATCAGAAGTTAGCATCCACTCATCCTGGGCATAAATGTTAATTAATCTGAATATTTTCTACATTTATAAAACGGGACTCTTTCTCTGGGTTTGGCTTCTTTTCATCCTACAACTTCAAAAGATTTGGTGCTGAAATAACTTTGCAGATCTATAAATACTGACTTCACTGTGTACATCCATTTAATTACATGTCTTCTGTCCAGTAATTGTAGTTGAGAGGCAGGGTCCACCCTGAACAAGTCACCTGTCCATCACCACTTACTCTACTGACATAGGTAACTCTTTTTAACACCATGCTGTATAAAAATCATTTTCAAAGCATTACTCCTATCCATCTAAAGAATAATAAGATCAGTCCATGACCTTTTATTTCAGTATCTAAGCTGGAGCTTCAAAGGTTCGCAGATTGTTACAAACTTAATACTCAAGCCCCTTTTAATTCAAAGGATAATACTTTAGGTGATATGCTTGAAATTTTGATTAAATCTGTGTTTTAATAGGATCCAAATCACAAAGCGAAACCACAATACGCTGATAATGTAATGTCAAGAACAGGGTTTATACAGGAATGAGTAGCTCTTATTTAATGTTTTCTAATGCTCTTCCAAATAATTTTAATGCCATCAACAAATACCCGTGATTCTCATATATACACGGCAAAATCCTTCGTCATCTTTACCGTCGACAGACTGCAGCCATGTTCCGAATTTCTCGTTTTCCAGCCACTTTTCTTTGAATTTTCCCTTTCTCTAGCTTTTTCTCCGCCTCGAGCTTCTTTTCTGAACATACGGCTTTACGATCAACCGGAAGCAGTTACGCGCAAATATATTGTGATATAATGTATCTGACAAAATTGTTTTTATAAATGTTTTTTGTTTTATAAAGCATTTTAAATGCCATGATAATCAAATTTTATGAATTTTAATGCCAATTAAGGCCTAATTTAAAAAATAACAATTTAATGTCTGATTTTTAATAACCTGCAGCAACCCTGCAGTAATCAAACCTGTTTAAAGAAGCCATTGTTAATCAATCAGTTAACATTACCCCAGTACGTTTAATTAAAAATTTGTGAACTGAATAAAAAGCTGAATCCTTTCCAGGAAACCAACCAAATGCGCTTCTACAGGGTAGTCAAATATAGAATTATACTAGCAATTTACAAATGGTATGTGATTTAGGTGTAAGTTGTCAAGATGTGTTTAACAAAAAGTATAAAATATTGGACACTTTGTGAGTTACGTTAAAATCATGATTAAAAACACAAGAAAATGTGCACCAAATATTTTACTTTTGAATAATCAGTTTTTTGTTGTTTCAAACAAAAAAATTATAATAAACTTTACAAAAACATAAATTAGAAGCCTCAAAATGATATGGAGATAAATACCCTTGGTGACCAGAGCTGGATGCATTTCTAAATCTGTCTCAGCAGTCTCAACCAGAGGTCACGGATTAGCGGACTGCGGCCCGGATCCGGACCAAACTGCTGGCTAACCCAACCTGATTTAAAACATTTATAAATTATCACATGTTGTCCAACGGCAGTGTCTAACTTCACTTGCACCGCTTCTCCTGTTAATACGGTAAAGCCCTCCAGAGCGTCCGGCACCAGGCTACACGTGATACAAATTAGCCAATGAGCTGCTGTCAGTCTGGGTTGCTGCTGCTGCTACTTTTAGACACAGCAGGCAAACCTGTAGCAAGTCAGGCGATGGGAAAGAAGGAGAAGATGATGAGAAAAAGAGAGCAAAGAAAGTGTGGACTGCTGGAAGAACTGTGGTAAACTGGTGAAAGAAAAGTGAAATGGTGCTCAAAGATGACCCTGCACATTTAGAGGATGTTTGGCTCAACCTGCTGCTGTGAAGCAGGATTCTCCACCATGGACAGAATCAAAATAAATTTGGATCCAGGCTCAAAATGAGCACCTTGATATGCGCTTTAGACAGAGGTGTCAAGTAACAAACACTTCTTTACTGTACTTAAGTACATTTTTAGGTATCTATACTTTACCCCATTACTTATTTTTCTTCCTACGTCTGACTTCTACTCATTACATTTTCACACAAGTAGCTGTACTTTCTATTCCTTACATTTTAAAAACAATCGTTACTCTTGCTTCGGTTTAATGCAGAGGTCACGGATTAGCGGACCGCGCCGCCTCTCCTTTTACCGTGCAATCCCACATCCTCCGTCATTGCTCTGCCCCGCAGCGCTCCAGACCCCCTGACCAAAGCAACGCCTACAGCCTCCACTGTTCCACTGCTGCGTTCCGACTTATCCTCCGTTCTTGCGGAGAGCATGTGCGATATCATCATTAAATTCGTAGGAGCAAAACATGCAGAGATGAACGCTTTATTTAATATGACATAAAAAAACTCCCCATCAGCATCCAGCATATGTGCGGTTTCTGATGGAGATGATAAATCTGCTTCCTGGTCTGTTGAAGTACCAATAGTTTGCATCCAATCTTTTAAATAAATGGTGTTCGTTTTTTGAAAAATATAAGAGAATTATGCTCTAATTTATAATTATTATCGATCTGTTGTTACTATATTTTAATTTGACCGGATCTTCTCGCCGTTCTTTCTCTGTTTGGTGCGATTGCAATAGCGGATCTTGACCCGCCGGACCGGAGCGCAGCCTGAACATTTAGCGTATGTTTGGCTCAACCTGCTGCTGTGAAGCAGGATTCTCCACCATGAACAGAATGAAAATAAATATGGATCCAGGTTGATGCATAAAAACCTCATTTTAAGTTAGTGTTAAATTCTGTTTAAAGTAACAGATTATAATAAAAAATGTCTCCAGACCTTCACTGGTTGTTGATTTTCTTAATTCGGACCCCACTGATTTTTAATTGGTTACCCCTGGTTTAAATTGTTTTTATTGATGACAGTTTATAGCAAACTCAATAACAAAGCCTCATGTGGTAAAAACGTAGGAAAGCCAAAATTTAACACCAAAACAAAAAGTCAGAACAAAACCCGGATACAGATTTTATCATCTAATGATAAAAAACAACATAAACACAGGGTTTACAGCGCAGAGAGAGAATGAAGTGTGAAACCTTGGATGTATCCTTTGTCTCTGACGTTCTGCAGGGTGGGTCGGCGGGCCAGGAACTTCTTCAGCTTGTGCCGAGTCTTCTTGTTGTCTGTAGCCTCCACGCTAGCCAAGGGCTTCATGGCTGAGGAGGAGAAATGTGAAAAGGTAGTCACCGCCCGCCGCAGCACATTAGTCGCCATGGCTGAGTGTTTCTGTCGAACGGACACTGATAAGCAGCTGTTTTATAAAGCATGCGTCTGGCTAAATGAGTCCATGAGGTGCTGCTGGACTTTGTGCTTTCGTTTCTGATCATTTAAAGCTTGTTTACGGTCCAAACCGTGTCAGAGGAATCATGCTCAAATGTTTTAGACTTTTTATGCCACACTTTTCCTGCATTGGTGCTCTAACCTTTGTCTTTCTTGGAGAGCCTTTGGTCTTTCTCCTTGTCCTGCTTCTCTGCACCAGGTGACTCGGGCATGTCCTCCTCAATGGCCTCATCAGACTCACAGGCCTAAAACATACAAGCAGAAAGGAGGAAATAAGATAAGGTAGGTTGTAAAGGTTCCTCTGTTTGTTCTTTGGTCTCTCTGAAGGGGAGATCGGCAAGTTTAAGCTAATTTCACATCAGTCAAATGTTGTAAACGAAGGGTTTCCGCCCTTAATGTAACTTAATAAGGCTTACATTCTTTGATGTTATCAAGTTCAGTTCACAGCAGGAAACTGAGAGTAACATTGTTGACATGGACAAAATTTGGACTGAAATTTGGATTGGAATGTATTTAGACTGAAAAACCAAAAATCATTGGATATTGCTGTAAGTATTCAGAATAAAACAGCTGATCAGTTGAAAAATGTGTAATTTAAAGATGCCTATTGGAATATTTTTGATGGAATCTAGCTACAAAAAGTGGAAATGTGTCATGTTGACATTGGGCTTAGAGGTTAGTTTGCCTCATTCAGAATAACTTGATCCTGTCAAGCTTCAAGCTAAGAGCTATATGTGTATATATATTTTATCTCTTTTTATTCTTATTTTTTATCTTTATTATATTGTATAGTTGGATGTGTGTATATATCATGTAAAACTGTAACTGGAGCGTGTAACAAAAGTAATTTCCCTCTGGGATTATTAAAGTATTTCTGATTCTGATTCAACATTTATGCTGATCAGATTCTCAACAACCATTTAATTCCCATCCTGCTGAAACTGATCACATTAATCCATCTGGCATGTTTAGGGGACACATTCTTGGTCCGATCTGCCATTTATTTTTATTGCCTATGCCAGTGTAAATGTAGTTACTCCATGGGAACAAGTATTTTAGTTGGGGTGGGGGGAGGGTAAAGACTCGGTCCTCACATATGCACTGATGGAGTCCTGCAGAGCCTTTAGCCACTCATTCACCACACTGTCAGTTTCAGACCAGAGGAGCAGCTCCGTGCCATGGCGGATCTTCAGCTGCGGGCGGAAGATAGGGTAAAAAAAGAAACATTAAAAAAATCTTTAAGCCAACTTAAAAAAAATCTAACATGAGAATATTTCTGTTCAGCTTAAAAAAATATATAATCTCTACTTTTTCTGAAAAAAAAAAAAAAACATTTTCTTTTGAAACAGTAAAACAGTAAAAGTTTGTTATATTTCGAGCTGCTCCTTCCTAAGATGAATCTCAATGAACAAGAAAATAATGGAAATATTTATACATTTCATCTATTTAATTAATAAAATCTCTTATATTTTCAGTTTTTATTACTGAGAATTTTGATAATTTTTGCCTAAACTATTAGAAAAAAAACCCACATATTAACTTTGGAATATTAGCATACAACATAAAACTCCTAAAAACGATATAGCCGTTTGCATAAACAACTGCATCTATTGGGATTAACATGGAGGTGATAGGCCTGAAGCTCTGGTCTTTGTAATATTCGTATTTTCATCTCTGATATTGATGCTTTCAGCAGTGTGGAAAATCCTGCTGTAGAGTTCAGCAAAATCAATTTCCAAATGAAAAACATCATTAGTTCTCATCTGCAATCAGGACTTTGGAGCAGCGAGTATAATTAGATGCTTTCAGGAGGAATTTAATGATAGGAATGTGACAGAAGAAGCACTGTATGTGTGGACACCTTTTCCTACCACATTTTGTTTTCCTTCCACTTAACTTTCCATTGATATGCTTTAATATACATCACAATGACAGCCAGCTTCTTCAGTAATGGCTTGTTTCCATGAGGAGGCATCCATTACTGACTGTTGGTTTATTAGCTGTTTTTTCATTGATTGTGCAAGATCAAAAAATTTTGTGTCAAATATCATTATTTTTTTAATGCTATCAGCTTATACTTTACATTAATCTTTAAGTGAATTTCATATTAATCAAAATAATCAGAAATAAACACTTAAAAAAGTACATTTTATGATATTTCAATATCTTTATAGCAGCAGTGTGTAAAGAAGGGAATCAGTTTATTTTCTTTTTTAAAGATCACAATATCAACATTTTTCTTTCACACAATTAAGCAAAGTTTTATTGGTGTTGGTATAAAAGATATAATTATGTAATTCTTAGAGTAATGTCATGCAATTTTTTTAAAAAGTTAAGCAAAGTTGGATTTCTGGGCCAACATTAAAATAAAACAGTGCCGTGTTTGGAAAACTAAGTATCTGTTAGGATATAAAGCCAAGCAGGCAGGGCCTGCTTAATAATATTTCAAGGAGAAACTACCTCAATGCTTTAGGAAGGGATTTATAGAAGAGTGTTCAAAATATTCAAGTCCGTCCCTGAACAGAAGGCAAATTCAGTTTACAGCTGGAAAACATTTAGGTCATTACAGTCTTATTAGGTGTGCAGATTCAACTCAAGGTCAGAGAGTGACAGCAATGCTAAAAAAAATTATAAGGAAAGTAAGAGTGCCTTTTTAGACTATTTTCCTTAGAAAGCTTAAAGCAGAGATATTGAACTGCAATGCAGAGAGCCATTTTTATGCATATCAGCATTAAGACCTTATACCAAATAGCACAGAGGTAGAAGGTTAAAGCTGTTTCCTTTGCTTCTGCAGATTAGAGTAACTTGGAGTCACTGTGAAGACCCTGAGCTCCTCTGTACACCAAAACATTCTCAAAATCAGTGTGAGGGTCATTGGCCTCGAATGGCCCATAAAGAATCAACAACAGGACAATGAACCCAGTAACCGCAGCATGTCTACCACAGAAAGGCTGTTAAAAAAGAATCAAGGAGTTGAAATGGTCCAAAAGAGACACAACAAAATCCCTACTTAAAGGCTCCAGAAGAGGCGGTTCTACAAGCTCTTCAGTCATGGGTTGTTCTTAATTATTCCACAGCAGAGCATTTGAACGGAGCGCCGCACAATTCCCGCTCCCCGGTCAGGAGGATGTTCGCTCATTTGCTCTGCCACTCAAAGCTTTCCCAGGACGCTCCGCTCAAAATCTGCTCCAGGTTCACTCAAATTTTAGGATAAGGCATTTTTTTTTGACATTTTTCCTTCATGTAATGATGCCAGGGCCCTGAGACACACGGCGTTTGATTTAATGATGTGACCGATACATGTGTATTGTCTTATTTAAATTACCGCACTGTTTCCCAGCTGTGAACGTAACACCTCGCTCCATTCATGTTGCCCCGCGTTTCCTATTTAATTATTAATTTATTTTACTAGACTGCATTAAAAAAGGTGACTTTGCATCCCATTGCTAATGAGATAAAAGCGTATAATGCATGTACATGTGCGATCCATTTTCAAAAACAGGCTCTTGCCACAACGATCACTTTATGTAAACCCACTCTGTATTAAGTATAGTTAGTTTTTATGATATTTTATCCTACTTTTTATCACACTTAAATCAAATAAATGCTATTTTACAAATTTTCATAATCCAACATTTTTAATTGACGTTGTGAGCGCATCAGAGCGAATATTTCTTCCGCTCCGCTCCACCGCTCGCTCCGCTCACATGCTCTGGTTCCACATACAGATTCTTTCTTTTGGTTTAATCTAGAATGACTTCATGCATCTGTAGTTTCACTGCTTTTTTCTTTCAAAAACAGACTTTTAACACAGAAAGAATCATTTTGGTTTCCTACCTCGAGAACATTCTTCTTGCTGGATTTTTCCTTTGGGGCCCAGTCCACTGAACCCCCCTTGAGATCCACAGTGAACTCTGGTTTGGACTGACTGCCTCCAAACTGCAGAAGAAAAAGATAAAAGATACACTTTTGAACAGCTGGATTTCTCACAATGCTACCGTGTGTGTAAAGGAGAAGAAAAGATGGTCAGCATAATTTGCATATTTAAAGCTCTGAGTCAATGTTCTTGCTGTCAGAATTAGTTTTTCACGACCGAGAAACAACAAAACAATTATTTGAATACAGGCCCAGCAGGAAGCGCGCCTCCAAACATGGCCCCCAGTAAACACGTCATTATAAAGATGTACTTCAATCACAGGCTTCTGATTGATTGATGCTTTTTGGAAAACTGTGGTTTTGTTTTGATAATAAGAACAGTAAAAATAACAGCAGTTAAACTGTTCATGTTTTTTTAACAAAACTCTGACTTGATTGCTGCTTGATGTTGAAAAGGTTTCACACATTCAGCTAAGCATTCCTGATTTTGTTAAAACCTGAGGTGTGGGATTGGAGTCTATCAGCAGCAACCATAAGATGAGAGACGGATCTGGGACAGATCCGCAGTCCATCATGGAGACATATGATGAATAATCATGCATGTGTGCACTCAAACCAACTCAACAATTGAGTTTTTGAACTGTGGAAGGAAGGTTCACAGGCTTTTAGCCAGCAATGTGTACGGGCGTACATTGTATGCCGTTTACTAAAAAATGACAAATGCTACACCTTGTTTTTTGAGTTGTACAGCTTTTGTATGCCCCAATTTTCCCTTGAAAACTTAGCTTAAATTTTCACAAGCAGCATTTCTGCTGCTAGATGCGTCACATCAACCAATCAGAGAAGCTGATCTGGGAGCTGGCAGGGAGACAGACACAGCGCTGCTGATGTAGATTCCTATGATCAATCGCCTGAAACAGTTAATTAACGCCTAAATTAAATTACAATGTTGAAACGTGCGGGCAAAATATGTAAATTTTTATTATTCTGGTACTTGCAGTTTGTGCCATATACAAACTCCACGAACAGTAGGGAAAATCCCCATGAGGTGAAATTGTTTGAAGCAGCCATTGCTGCCAGCGCACCGTTAGTATGTGGTGGTCTGTGCGGCTCCTAGAGCGAAATAATATTTTAATGCAGGACTGTAATCTCGATGAACTGAATGCAAAGACGATGTTTAGAGGCGGACTTTCTCGCTTAAAAATATATCAAAACTACTTTTTACACATTTAACACAGCGAATGTAGCAAAGCCGCTCTCTGGCATTGAACACATGAGCATCAGACGCATCTCTACACAAGCGCGTCTGATCTTCATGTGTGCAAGCTTCAAAAATGAAGCAGCAGAGGCTTTTTGCTGCTCAAATCGCAGTGTGAACGTAGCATTACACATTCTGATTATTGGAATGAACCTATGAAACATGATACTATGTCTGAAAATGATCTCATGTCTTCCTTATGAAATTTCCCCTCTAGTCAAGCACATATACTTTCTATTATCAGGACAAAAATAGTGTTAGAATAAAGTCAAAAAGTTCGGTGCCTTCCATCAAAATTATGAATTTCTAGAGGAGGATACCCTCGAATGCAAAGCCTAAAGATGTGATACACCAAGGGGTACACCCTATGAAATATTCCTGTATAAAAGCCTGAAGGCAGAGTACCCAAGTTACCAAGAAAAACCATTGATTGTAACAGACAACATGCAAACAACAGGTAGGAGGGGATCTGAATTTAGAGCCCTCTTTATAAGAACAATTAATTTAAGTAATATTAAAGTGCAAAAGTCTCTTTTTTTCTTTCGATTTTCCTTTAAAGCAATCTTACTTTCTTTTAACTGTTCTGAAGGTAAAGCACTGGTTTTATTTCTACTCTGATTGGTTAAGCAACTTAGCTCCAACTTGATGATTTATAAGGCCTAAAAAGTAGGCTTATTTAATCAAGGGCAGCATGTTACATAATAACATAACGGTTGTTCTGTAGAGAGATTTTCTAGTCAAAGGTTGATTTACAAAAGGCTGCAAATAAAAAGAAAACAGACATAAAAGAAGGAAGCGTGTTGTCTGCAAAGATTCAGAAACTTTGCAATAATGTCTTTTAAAATGAATCTTTTGAGCCCTTTTCAGGCTGTCAAACAATTAATTCTTCCTCTTTCCTATGTTGAATTAATAGGAAAAAAATTATAAAACTGTTGAACAGGGAGAAAATAGCGATTAGCTAAAACCCAGTATCTCCCAGGCTTTTGATTCCTGCTCATACAGGTGGTTTTGTCCTCCACAAGACCAGTTTTTTAAAGGTTCCTCAATGAATGAATTAACCATGTTGAACTGAACACTGAAAGCCCCAAAATGTCCTAATAATGTTGAAATCTAAGAACAAATAAAAACACATACCCAGCTTGACCCTCCTCCTTGCCCTTTGGCAAACAGAAGTGTTGAACCGTCCAGGACTGTCCATGAGGAAGTCCAGTTTTTCCTGCAAAATGTGCACAAAACTATACGTCAGGTTCACAGTGCAGAATTAAATCTCCAGGACGACAAAGATGCCAAAGAATTACAGTCGAAATATTAAAAATATTTATTGAAAAAAAGCATTAGCACATTTCTAAAAACTTTAATGCTGCAGATAATTGTGAGTTGCAGCATGAAGTAAAAAGAAAACTATAATCCTGTAAGATCATCTGATCATTTGGAAAATGATTTCCATTCAGGATCTATTTGAGATCAAAGCCTAAAGGCCAAACAGATTCCCGTGGTTTGTGCTTAAAGGCAGTGCTACTCACCGAACTCTCTTCCCATTCTCTGTAATCTTCGTCACATTGAGAACACCGCACTTTTCAGACGACTGCAAAAGACAAGGAGCCGCGGCGCAAACGGTCAGAGAACAATTTAACCTTTTTATTCTTTTTTTTACAAGCACATCACTCAGCATCAGACCTGATTGACACATGGAAGGAGGCAGAAAAAACCTTTACAAACAAACAAACCAGTAAGCACCCAGCCACCAGAGCAACACCAGCACTCAGATTAGTCCAGAAACTACTTCAATAGGTTCATATATATTTGATTAACATGAAACAGCATAAATGGCTTTGCTAAAGTATTTGAACCATGACGTTTTAGTGATTTCACAACCTGCACGTATTTTACAGAGAATTTGTGTGACAGACAGACACAAATCAATGCCTAATTATGGAAAAAATATATTTTATTTTTGAAAGTAAAAATATGAGCCGATTCCTTATTGAACTTCTTTCACTGCAATTACAGCTGCAGCTCTTTAGCAGCTGGTCTCTATCTAAAAAAACGAATAACAGCCCAAGCTCGATCGCATAGCATAGTCAAAGAATGAATGGCAGTTTTCGAGTGCTGTGGTGGATTCTCAGTAGGATTTAGGTGTAGAAAATCCCCTCCGAAATGAAATTGCTTTGATCTAAATCTCACTGATCCTTGGAATATTTTTGGTATTTCTCTGACATGTATGAATGGGTGCTTAAAGGGCTTTGGTAGCACCTGATGGCCAGATGAGGAGGTAATGCAATCGCTTGAACCAGCTGGAGCAAAGAAACATCTAAAACATGCATGACAAGGGGGCCGGAAAAAAGACCAGCCTGAACAACCACTGATCTAAACCATGTTTTGCAGCTCTGGCTGTAAGTCTACTGCCATCCTGCTGGAAGTCAAACCACTATCCCAGTCTCACGTTTGGACAGTTTTAGTTTTTTTTTTGTCCAAGGACTTTCATGTTTATAGATCCATCCTAGGCCTGGACAATATAGAAAAAAACGATTAAAAAAAATGCATATTGATCGATATCCATAATTATCTCTCAGATCTTCTCAGGTTAATTTCTGTCTATGGTGGGGCTCGGATGTGCGACGTTGTGGTCTAGTGAGGCACAGATTGCAGCTTATTGTGCAATCATTTCCTGCACTCATTGTACAAATTAGGGAGCGCTGAGCTAGAGTAAAACTTGCAGCACAGAACTTCGTATAGCGGATCAAGAGTGGCACGCAGCTGTTTGAAGCCAGGTTTCTCAACTGCAGACAATGGCAGCATATGCATCACTATGAAGCATGTTACAGCATGAGTGATGTACTTATGCTGCTTGGTCACTGGTGTATTTATCACAAAGCAGGAATCCTAGTTTAGCTTGCTTTTCCTGCTTTGTTTTAGCAGAAATTCGAAAGGATTCCTTCGACGACGTGGAACCGCGCCGGAGCCGACACAGCTCCTGCTCCATTGGGTGCGAGCGGCTTAGATAATAAAACAAGTTAGTTGTGGTACCAGACTTTGTTTTTACTGGTTCCCTGCTTATTTTACAAATCACTGTGTTTTTTTTTTTCTTTTTCTGACTTGCTATAACTGAAATATTGCCAAAATGACGAAATACAAAAACCCTTCTTCGGGGCAAATTCCTCCGCCTCTGCTTGTTGTGATATCTTTGCATGATCTGTGTTGTGGTTATAGAGCAGAGGTCATGGATTAGCAGACCCACCTGCTGGCTAATCCGGACCCAACCTGATTAAAAACATTTATAAATTACTACATGTTGTCTAACGACAGAGTCTAATTTCACTTGCACCGCTTCTCCTGTTTGTACGGTAAAGCCCTCCAGACCACCCGGCATCAGGCTACACGTGTTACAAATTAGCCAATGAGCTGCTGTCAGTCTGGGTTGCTGCTGCTGCTACTTTTAGACACATGCTTAAATATGAGCCTGCACATTTTGAGTATGTTTGGCTCTCCACCATGAACAGAATCAAAAATAAATATGGATCCAGGCTCAAAATGAGCTCCTTGATATGTGCTTTAGAATGGCTTTGTCTCCATTCAAACCCAGGTTTAAAGCCTTGCAGGGCAGCATGAAGCCCACTGCGAACATTAAGACAGAAAAAACAAAGAAAAACAAACAAGGGGCCTTCAGGTGATTGATAGGGAGGAAGGGGTGACTGTAACATAAACCTAAATTATAGGCTAGAAATGAAAAAGGAATGAAAACTGCATTTCTATATGTCGAAATTTTATCGACCCTTTTTTATTTTTTTCCCCCGTGCCACACGTCTATCAGTCGATATATAATGTTACTGAATTATCTCCAGCCCTAATCCATCCATCTTTGCCACCAACTCTGGCCACAATCCCTGTTAAAGAGTGGCAAGCCCACAGCATAATGCTGCCACCACTATATTTCACTGCTTGTATGGAGGGTTCAGGTTTAGGATGTGTAACCAATCGTTTTCCTGTCGACAGATCCCCTGACTTTACGTCACTATTTTTGAGTTTTTTTTCTAAGGTTTTCTGTTTTCTTAATCTTCACAAGTGTTGCTACTTTGCAATGGTCTATCACACAAAATCCCACTAAAATAGGATAAAGCTTATTTTTGCAACATTCATTATGTTAAACCAAAACCGTTCAGATTTTTCAGTCATCATCCCATCATGCAAAATAAATAAAATTAAGGTCAAACAGTTCCTACACAGGCTGTCCAGTTTAGCATGTCTGCTCTGTGTCTTTAAGCCTTAATGATCAAGATTGTTTTAATCTTCCCAGATGTTTCCAGGAACTTCATCCCTGTGTAGGAACCTTGCAAAAAGCCGAAACACATTTCACCGCTAAGGCCCCTTAAAGCAGCACTGCAGCCCATGAGGTTAGTGGCGAGTACTGACAGAGCCGGGAGACTTGGGTGACGTTGGGCTCAAGTCATAGTCAGGAGGGGGAGACTTGGGAGTCTGAGGAGCTTCCTAGTAAACAAACATGGGTAGAAAACAAAACACAGACAAGCAGTTTCACATAGTTTAGACAAGAGCTGGTTAATGAGAAGATAATGTGAGTTTAAGTAGACGGAGGCGACTGAAAAGATGGTAGATTATAAAACATCAAAGCGTGTGAAGTAAAATTATCAATAAAGATGGTCATGCCAAAGTCGCATTCAGAGAAAACTTACAACGTACCCAATTGTTATTTTATCCCAATCCAAAGATAAAATCTCAAGGTGTCTTTATCAAAGCAGCTAAATTGACTGTTTATCACAGTAGAAGAGGTCAAATCATCACTTTAGTTGTGGGATCATCTTCATGCAAGCTGATTGTGTGTTCAGACAGAGCTTTGTTTTCCTATGGGAAAACAGGACTACTGACTTGCTGTTTGTATGGGTGCTGGCGGAGGGAACCTGAGCGGACCCGCCTGCTTTTAAAGAGCCGCTGCAAAGGAACAAGTCTACAGCTAAGATCATGGGCTTAAGCATCATTAAGTTACTGCTGCATTTTATTCTACGCAGCATGTTTACTGTTAAAACTTTGCAAGCGCAGACCTTTTCACTCGGCTCCTGGACGTAGGCGCTGTGTCTCCACTTTGTCAGGACGATGGGCTCCGCGTTCTTCCTGTCCAAACTGCGACTTTTTGGTCCGTCGCTCGGTTGAGGTGGCGAGAGGTACTGCAAAAGGGGAAAAAAAATCAGAAAAAATGAATTAAAAGATAAAACCGAGAGGCGAGGACATTTGAACAGAATGCTCAATATGCTGCTCACAGAGACTATACAACTAACTAAACTAACTAAAAAATATATCCACAGGGATCAATCCCTGAATATTTAAGCTAAAAAGTGGGATGCATCAATCAATGCCAGAAAAGAAAAGAAAAACTGCCATCTATTGATTAGATTTCTAAATTTCTTCTGAACCTCTGGAGCCTAAAATACGAAGAATCAGGTACATGCAGAAAGAAAAAGCAGCAAAATGGTAAATCAGCATTCATGGAATGGGGCAATTTTTGGTCTTTTTGTCAGTAGGACTTTAAAAATGTTCCAGGTTTGATTCCCAGCCTGGAGTCCTTCTGCATGGAGTTTGCATGTTCTCCCAGAGCATGCATGGGTTCTCTCAGGGTACTCCTGCTTCCTCCCACAGTCAAAAAAACATGACTGTTAGGTTAATTGGCTTCTCTAATTCTCCTTGGATGTGACTGTGTGCGTGAATGATAGTTTGTCCTGTTTGTCTCTGTGTTGCCCTGCGATGGACTGGCGACCTGTCCAGGGTGGACCCCGCCTCTCGCCCGTAGAACGCACCCCTCACGACCTCAGCAGGGATAATCATGTTGTAGGATGGATGGATTAATTAGGAAATTAAAATATGAAATGATTGATATTTCTAATAATTCATAGTTAAAAGGCAAAGTTAATACTCAGTAGTCACTTTGTCTTTCGCATTTTATATCTTTTTATTTCTACTAAGACCCTTTTTTGGGGGGGGGGATTTTTGTTTTTGACTGCTTCACAGTCTTACCTTCGGTAGCTCCCATTCTGACCTGGAGCCGTCAGCGCTGTAGTAATAAGGTCTTCCCTGGTCATCAACATGTTTTAACCACTACCGCAAACAGCAAAGAAAAGAAATGTATTGTTTCACTTTGTAACATTTGGCTCAAAAATTGAAAAAGATTTTATTAGAGAATTTTTCATGTTGTAGAACCAAAGTGCAGACAAAGTATCACAGTGAAAGAGGAAAATAATCAACTAGGTCCACCATGCTGAACCAAACACCACAGCAAAGATGCAGCAGCTCGGCTCTGAGCGGTTGGTACCTTCTCGTTAGTATAGTCGCTGACGTACAGCGTGTGCCCGTGTTCGTCCATCTCCTGTGACCAGCCGCGCAGAGGCGAGCCATACTGGCTGTCTGACTGGCTACAGTAGGCGCTGAAGCAGGCGTCCTCTGAGGACAGAGGCTGGAGTCCTCCGACGGACAGCGACAGGAAGGGAAGGAAAGATGGCGAGAGCGAGAGAGGAGTTGTCTATCATTAAAGGAAAAGGAGAAAACCAGAGAGAATCTTTCACCATAGAGAGACAGGAGACATGGAGATATTTCCCAGAAAAACCCACCACCATTAAGACCCTGCAGAGACCCAGAGAGCAGAAAATCACAAGTGTTTCTGATTGATGTTGCAGAAAGAGGTGCAAGTCTGAGGAATCAGACAAAGTTAATGCTTAGGGCCTGTAGGTGGCAGCCTGGTGCAGCCATTTAATGAATCATCGAATCAAGGGATGCAAACTTAGGTGAAGGAAACATCACTTATTTGATCCTAATCACAGACAGACAGCGCTGATGAGCTGCACTCAGCTCATTAAAGGAAAAACTGCAGTCTAATTTAAGATCAGCACGTTTGCTGCATACTATTTGGTCCGCTGCAAGTGTTAAACGAACTGTCAAAAAAACGAAACCTTCATCCAGACAGAATTATCAGACAGAGCTGACGGCTACTGTTCAAAAGCAAATGGATCTGGACTTCATTCTAATTTGACTTTAGGTCTAATTTGAAGTAAAATTGGAAAGTATTCGTAACCATCATGCTCACATTTTAATGGGGTTGGGCTACCTACTTTACAAAACGTCAGACTAAGGATAACCAGGTGAGCAAATATGTCTTAAATCGGCTGTGAACGCCTCGTTACTTTAAATAAATTATTTAATAGTCTACAGATTATTCCGCCCTGAGAATAATTAATCTGTTCATGTTTAGCTCATTAAAGGAAAAGATAAGCGTTTTCAGAGAGGAAGGGATCCCTGCTCTCAACCAAACATTCCCAAGTTAATGGTAAAAGCAAACAAGTAACCATGGAAACTGTAATCAATATATCAAACCAAAATAACAACCTGTTCTTTTTTCCTAAATGCTTCCTCTTTGGTTTACACCAGAATTGCTGATTTTAAGGCTGCCACAAATCTTGACTCATTTAAGATTTATTGCATTAAAGCAGCTGTTTTTTGGGATCTAATAAAAGCCGTCTAAATCAAATGTACCCCAGATTTTCCTGCAGGTCTTTCAAAGTCATTCTTTTTCATATCATTCTCAAATTACCGTTTTAGCAGTTGTTTAAGTTATTTTAGTTTGACCTGCGATGATTTAGCAAAGAAACAAGTTAAAGTCAAATCTAATGAGAAACAATGATCGGCTGCATGAATCCGCTCAAACCATTTGAATTACAGCATTACTGGGACTGTTGGAACTTGGGCTGAAGTCCAGCAATCAGTATAATCTGAGTGGATTTCAACAGAGATTGTTATTTTTTTAATTTAACAGCTCCATTTTCTTCCTAGGTTGATTGGTCATAATCAAGATGTGTGGCTATGCATCCTAAGCCAATATATAACTGGGTTTTATCCATATAAAATAAGGGAAAATGATAAAGAATCAATCTGTGTTTGGAACCTTTAATGAGCGATAATCATATAGTTTTAGGCACCACTAAAACAGCTAAATTAATTTGTTACTACCATAGTTATTAAGTTATTACCACACCTTTTAATATTTCTAAAATGATGCAAACACATCCTGACCCATCCTGCTGTATCACACACAGACAGAAGCTGAACGATCAAACATAAAACAGCTGTTCACATTGAGCCTTCCTGTTACCTGCTGAAACTCTTGCTCTCTTTTGCCCACTTGGTCTGAACCAAATGCAAACAGAAAAAACATTTAAAACGCTACTTATATTCTTGATCTTTATTTTAAGTACCTCACTGGTATTGAAAATGGCTGACTGAGTCTTTTATTCCCTTCATTACCATCTTCTATTTCTGTTTGTTAGCATTACATGGAAGCTCTTCCCAGTGGAACAGAAAGGGATCAGTTTTTGGAGTTTTAAAATGCAAGCCAATTGCTCTTTATGAATCAAGCTGCTAATGTTGCCAATTCTGGTCATCAACTACTTTTCTAATTGAACTAAATTAGGAAGATTGTATGAAAATTGAAGGTAATTTCTAGTTGAAGGCATAAAACTGCAGTTTATCACAGAGCTTCAACTTTCACTTTTAGGTGTTAGAAATTTTTGCAAAACATAATTTCCATTTCTTTAGATAAATATATAAACATACAGGAAACACATTGTAACTGAAAGAAAGTAGAATTTTAGGGGCTGATGGGAGAACTTGCTGTTCAACTGAAGGGTTGCAGGTTCAAGCTCCGGCTCTAGCTTTCAGTGTTGCTGTGTCCTTGGGAAAGATAAGTTATTTGCATTAGTAGTCAGTCGGACCGGCTTCCTTCTGTCAGTGGGCAGCTGTGGCTACAATGTAGCTAGCCAACCCTAAATGTTTGGGTCAATGGTTGAATGTCTGAATGTATAGTCGTGATATACATCAGGCCTTCTTTAATTGTTTCCTAAGCATGTCAAGTTACCACATTTTTTAGCATAAACAGTGAAGGGGAGTCTGACTCTTTGGAAGCAAGAAATCTGGGTGGTTTCTGACTTTTGCAAATTAATTAATCAGTGAAAACGTTTAGTGCTTGAATACTTTTCCTCAGCTTTCACTCATGCATCTTGCGTGCAGTGCTAGCATTTGTCCATTCCTATCTAATAATAGACCTTAGTGGGGAAGTTTTAAAATGCTGTGATGAATGCTCTAAATGGTATTAAAACCAGTTTGACTCAGTAAGAGGGAACATGAATTTAGCTTTCTTACACTTTTCCTTCAACTCTGTTACATCAAATTAAAGCCGCACAGGGAGCTGATAAAATATGATCTAATTTTTCCAAAACTTCCCTTACAAGGATGTATATACTAAACAATGGCACTAGCCTGTTTGGCTTTTTTCCCCAAGCTTTACCTCAGAGCTCCCCCCAGTGCTGTGTCTGTCCTCCCTGGAGTTCCCGCTGCCAGCTTCTTTGGTCCTCGGGGGCTTCCAGGTTCTCTCGTGGGTGGAGCGGTTGCAGTAGTAGTGTCTGCCGCTGTGGTCCTTGTAGGTCTCCCAGTCGCCGACTGCATGAATGGGTGAGCCAGACGGCACGGGGGGTAGACTTGTCTTGGTGATTTTCAGTTCCTGGAGGTTGGTGTAGACTGGAGATTCTGGGCGGCCTTGGCCTGAAGAAACAGTCTGTGAAACAGAAAGCGCAACATTTAATCGATTATAGAAAAGTTCCTGGAAAGTGGAAGAGGTTTTTGTGATAAAGCCAACTAGCCTTTTATTTCAAAACAAACATGCTGGTGAAGACTCTCAGTCATCCAGGTCATAGTCATTCCAAAATAGTAAAAAAAAAAAACTCTAGCTTTCTATTAATGTCAGCAAAATGTGATATAATAAAAGAACTTAAAAGCACAAAAAGTCAATTTCTTTAGCAATAAATGAACAACACAAACTCTTTAATACTCCAGTACAGAAACCATTGCAACAAACCACCTTCAGAAGCCCAATAATTAGTCAACAGGGTCCTCCTTGTGTCTAATTTGGTTTCAGTGTGAATACTTCTGTGACAGTTTCAAAGGTTTGGTGGTAGCAGCATAATTTAGTCTAAGAGACTAAAGGCACAAGACAGGGAAGTATTTGTGGAGATGTTTAGTCTTTAGTTATAGAACAATATCAAATTTGGAACATCTCACATTGAAAAGTTCAATCTGACATCTGCAATCGGATAAAGCAATGAAGGATAGGAGACATGTGATCAGAGACAAGAAGCGGACACATCCACAGCCCAGAAAAAGACAGCAAAGGCTCAATGATGTGAGATAAGGGAAGACTGATGGATAAGAACGGTCTGTTCATTGCAGGACTCCCAACACTGACCCTCTCATTGTACCATGATGTGGCATCAAATTGGCCAGCAAAACTCGAAAAAAAAAAGACACTACTAAGCACAAACAAAGCCACCGCTGCTACAGATGATGGAGGTTTGGTTGCAAAACGTATTTAGTCTGACTATAAACAAACTTATTTAAATTGTGTGTGTTTCTTTGTACAGATCTTTAGAAAATCTGGCTATTCGCAGAGCTCTGTTGAAAGCTTTGCTTACATGATGCAATCGTATAACCTTCACAGAGCTTCTTTGTCTACAGATGAGACTATCAAATAAAATGTCTCTCCATTCTACATCATGGTGCAATAAAGGAGGCATCAGTGGAATATTTGAGCCTCTCTGATTCATAGGCACATAAGTAAACCAATCAAAACGTAGCACTCCACACAAACTAAGGCGGCAAGCAAGAGGAGCAACAAACAGAGGAGCAGTGGAGAATCTCCGAGCATGTAATTAGGAAGGATGTGATGAGAGGTGGATCAAAAGCCACAAATTCTAGCCTTTATGGAAGAGTTATAAAAAGGAGGTCATTGTTGACAGAAAGCGATAATAGGGATAACATAAACTGCAGGAAACCAACAAAAGTGTGGTTAGATGAGACGTGCAAAAAAAGGTAGGCTGTTTGTGTCGAATGCACAATCCTCACAATTACGTCTGGCACAGGATGCATTGTACTGTGGGGATGCTCACCTTCAATAACTAACGGGAAGTAAGTTAAAAAGTATTGTGGATTAGTACACTAATTTATTTTCATTCTAGAAAACTCCTATAAATTTCATCTTCCTACCACTTGACAAATATGTCCCAATTTGAAAACTTGAAGTACTTAGAAAACAAACTTTATTAGCAGATCGATGCATTTTTGCTTGTGGCTTTCTTCAAGGTCCAAAACACAAGAGGAAATATGATGGTTTAAGAGGAATAAATGGCTGCAATGTGTTACAAAAAAGAAAAAGAGCGGTAAAACAAAACCCCTCATATCTATGATAATCTCTCTTCTTTGATGCAGCAAACACTAACATTTTGAAGTTTGTGTGGAAAGGATCACACTGAATCTAAATATGTTTGCAGGGCACCAGAATAATTTGTATTTCAAACTGATTTTGCTGCTGTTCCTCAGGCGGAAACAGATCACAGAATGGAATCCAGTAAGGAGGAGGGGAAGAATGAAGCTGTTGTTATATAACTTGAAGTGCCAGAGTCCCATGTTAGGTGCAAAAAGGGGAAGTAAAACTGAAGATGCATGCAGAACATTTAAAAAGACAGTTTGGACACATTGATCCCTACAGCTACAAACAGAAAAAAAGACTTAAAAAAAAAAAAAGAACCTTTTCATTTGGTAGTCTGGGGACAGATTTTAAATTTCATGCATTCAGATCGAAGCTGCAGGTCATCATGAAACTCCCTGCAAAAATCAGTTTCACTCGCCAGTCCAAGCCCCCGATTACTTCAATGCAAAACATAAAAAAGGCAACTATTACCAAAGTGTAGGATTATAAACTGAAAACCTAAGTTGTTTGTAAATTTATACAGAGTGAGGCTAGCTATTTGTCTTTTCCCCTTTTTTCATTAAATCAGGGGAACTTCAGCTACAGAAGTGACTGCAGACAGACAGAAACATTTCTTGCTGTCCTTTCAGGATTACAAAGATAGATATTATTTATGTTTCATATCCTGTTTTAAATTGAACTTGTACCAAAAACTGTCTGAGGAAACCTTCTAAATGAATAAAACGTTTCATAAATCCAGCTGGCTAAGCAGATAAACCCACAAAGTTGTAAGTGGTGGTATGAAACCATAACAGACTCTGTGTTGTTTTTGACAGTCATCTTAGATTTAATCTTCAGAATTACTGGTTTTAGTGACATGTTAGTCATTATGATATGTGATAGTTTTAGTCGACTAAAACTTAAACAGGTTTTAGTCTAGTTTTATGTTGCAAAAAAGTTAACCTTTCCAATTTAAAAAAACAAACAGATTCTTTAGTAGACTGACAGCTCTAGCCTAGATACTAAAATTGCTGGAGATGATGCCATGCAGTTCATCATTGCTGTTGGGCAGAAAACTTTAATTTCTAGAATTCAAATAAACTTTTCAATGAATTATTGCCTTACTTTCACAACAGTTGTGAAAATAGCTGATCTAGTTCAACACATTATATTGGTTAATATAGCAGTCAGACAAGCTAACAAAATGTACAGTAAAGGAATGGTTTTAGACATACAAGGTTTCCGTCGAAAAGCAAACACTTCCTGATCTACTATGAATTATGTCTTTAGGTGAATTAATCTTCATTGCTCCAAAAAAGCAAAGAACAAAAACATTTTTCTTTCAACTTTGGCAATTTTGGCTTTATTTCTGAGAATTTCCCCTTGGTTACTGTTGCTCGGGGGTTAAAGTAGATCTAAATTCATCAGGTTTTGATATAAAAAATAATACAGAGAGAAACTACATAATTGTCTTGTAATGCAATGACAAACCAGACCTAAATTGAGCGAATATGCTAACTAAAACGTTGAAATATTTAAAGGAAACAAAGAAAATGTTTTAATGACAATTCTAGAAAACATTTCCATCATATCTGAATAGATAGAAACAAGAACTATGAGAAAGTACCTTTTCACCTGGCTCTTTATCCAAAAATAAACAGTATGGAATGAAATATTTGCTTTGGATATAATTTAGCGATTCCTTTTGTTAGAAATTAAGGAATGTTTGGTAGGGGTGTCAACAATAATCGATTCAGCGATGCATTGCAATGCGGTGCATGCACGATTCAGCATCGATGCGGCAACGTGCCATAATCGATTATGTCACTGTTTATTTTCTGGCCTCAAATGGACAAGTTGTGAAGTTTCAATTACTTCCGGGGGCATACCAACAACAATCAAGATGGCTGAGGCGGAGGGAGATGACCGCGATAGATGGGAAGGCCTAATTAAAAATGCACCCAAAGCTTGGAAAGCGGATATCTGGGCACATTTCGGATTTTACGAAGTCAATGGGATTTTGATGCATCGCAATGCATCGTAGAATCGAATTGAATCGAATCGTTACCTGGTGAATCGTAATCGAATCGAATCGTGAGGGCAGTGCCAATGCACACCCCTAATGTTTAGTATAACATCTTGTGAGCTGGGAGAAAAATAATCTTGATAGTTAGAAAAAAAGGATTCTTTACGTTTGGCAGAGGATGATCAGCCACATAGTTTATTAAGCAGCGAGAGCATGAAGAGCCATACTGCTGAGAGTGAACCATCCGTGTGGAGAATAAAGCGCAGACTCTGAGCTATACGCATGCAAAGATGCACTTCTGCACAAGCACAGCTAGAAGAGCAAATTTCGGGTTATTTTCTCCCCTGCTGCTGCCATGCTCCATCTGTAGTCATTTAGAATGTACACCGCTGCATGGCAGGTGGGCGGCCTGAGCAAACAGGACGCAGTACTACGGCTGATACTGCCTAACCTGTCTAACAAATTACAGCTTCTAACAAATTTACTTTCATTTAGTCTAGCCTCGTTGACAAAAACTCAAACCCATGACTCATCATGTTTTCGTCCCCTCATAAACCCCTCATAAATAATATATAAATAATAGCAGAGCTTTGAGGTGTGCAAAAGCTGGACCCTGAGATGTTTTTATATCATGGAGATCAATTGAAATGAAATATGCAGAACCTGGACAAACAATCTGGTGGTAAACAAGAGAAGGGCTAAGAGTGCCATTCAATGTATGACCTCAGGTTTATAATACACACACAGTATATAAGGGATGAACGATTTTGCCAAGAATCAATTTTTTTTATTTTTGTTATGTAACTAAAATGGCCATTGCAATGACATTTTTTGCAGTGAACATCCAGCATGTAGATGCTACTCTCCTTGAAATCTCTTTTGTCCAGAATCTATGGTTGCATGACTTTAATGTTGCTGCATCTCTCTCTTCCCTCCTATGCGCTGACAAACCCACTCTAAGTGTATCACCCCCACCTAAAGGGCTGGAGTAAGAAAGGCAGCGTCTTACTAATTTAAATGGAATTTGACAAAATCTGAGCGTCTGAGATTTAAAAATTGCCTTTTGGAAAATTGCTTTTATAATTGAAACATAATTAATAGTTAACCCTTACGCCATATAGATAAATATAATTAAACCAACATAGCTGTTTTCTATAAATCAAGCAAAAACATGGATTACCTTTGGTTCTATTGGTGATATATCAGTAAACACATCATCCTCCTCTCTGTGTATTGAAATGGCTCGCAAAAGGCTTCTCCTGAAACGCATTGCTGCCATCAGTCCCTG